AGGTGTTTGGCTACCGGAGCCACTGCTACAAGGCCATCTGCACGCTCGACGGCAAGCGGTACGTGCTGCGGCGCCTCGAGGGGTTCCGCCTGCAGCACGAGGCGGCCATCAGCCTGGTCGAAAAGTGGAGGCGGATCCGGCATCCCAGCATCGTCAGCGTCCGCGAGGCGTTCACGACGAGGGCGTTTGGAGATCAATGTGAGTTGGCCGGAGCCGGCGCCGGCTGCTGCTGCGGCGGCGCGGCGCGGCGCGGCGATTCACGCACTGCGCAAGGATCGGAGGATGCTGACGGCCGTCGCGCGCCCTCCATATGCCTCACCCCACAGCGATCGTGTTCGTCTACGACTACCACCCGCTTTCGACGACGCTCTACTCGGAGCACATGACGGCCAAGCCGCCGCAGCCGGATCGGCGCACGGGGCGGCTGCAGCCGGTGCAGATGCAGGTGCCGGAGCGGGTGCTGTGGAGCTACCTGTGCCAGCTGACCAACGTGGTGCGGTGCATCCACCTGGCCGGCATGGCTGCGCGCTGCATCGAGCCGAGCAAGGTGCTGCGGACGGGCAAGAACCGCGTGCGGCTCAACTGCTGCTCGATCTTTGACGTGATTGCCTACGACCCGCAGGCGGGCCAGGACGCGGTCCGGACGCACCAGCGCGAGGACCTGGCCAACCTGGGCAAGCTGATGCTGAGCCTCGCGCTCAACACCATGTCGGCGCTGCAGAACGTGCCCAACAGCCTCGAGAGCGTCGGGCAGCGCTACTCGGCCGAGTTCAAGGACATGATCCTCTGGCTCCTCGACGAGTCGACCGACGCCGACAAGACGGCCGACGAGCTCGAGCGGCGGCTCGGCACCCACGTCGCCGAGGAGCTCGACTCGGCGCTCAACTACGGCGATCTGCTCGAGAATGCCCTCATGAAGGAGCTCGAAAACGGCCGCCTGGTGAGGCTGCTGTGCAAGTTTGGGTTCATCAACGAGAGGCCAGAGTGAGTGTCGCGGGCGATGTGTATCGGCCCGCCTCCCCCCGCGAACGGAGTGTCCAACAAGGCTTCCTGCTGACCTCGCCTGCGCCCCCTTCCTTCCCCTCTCTGCCCCTTTTGGCCCTGCGCGCTCCCTCGGCCTGCAGGTTCGACCATGATCCGCGCTGGGCCGAGACGGGAGATCGGTACATTATCAAGCTGTTCCGCGACCACGTGTTCCACGCCGTCGACGAGGCCGGACGGCCGGTCGTGGACCTGAGCCACATCCTCACCAACCTCAACAAGCTTGACGCCGGCGTCGACGAAAAGATCATGCTGACGTCGCGAGACGAGCAGAGCTGCCTCGTCGTCAGCTACAGAGAGGTGAGGGCCGAGCCCGTGGCTGCGCACGCGCGACACGATGGGAACCTGTGCTGACGCCCGCGCACCGCTTTGCTGCCTCGCTGCCCCGCTGCCGGAACGACCGACAGATCAAGAACTGCGTCGAGAGCGCGTTCCAGGACCTATCGAGGGCTAGATAAGGGGGAGAAGCGGCCACATCGCCTGCCTCTCCCGTCCTCGCGCTGCCGACGCCGCCGGTGCCGCGCCGTGCGAAGAGCGTGTTTATGGAGCCATCTCTTGCCCCCCTTTTGTGCTGCGGCCGCAGCCGGTCGTGCCCCTGCTATCCTTGCTATGTCCGGGTATTATCAGCTTTGTCGTTGTGGGCGGCTATCTGCGTGAGGAATCGACACTTATCTAAAGAAGGCCATGTCCATGTAGGGAGGGGAAGAGAGAGGCGGATGAGGCCGACGGAGGGAGCGTCGAGGTGATTGGTGGTCGAGAGGGGCTGGGCCAGAGCCTGGCTTTTTCTCGCCCGAGATGGCAAGGGGAGGGAGGCTGGCAGACTGCTGGCCAGCGTGCGCCAGGCCCCGTCCCTGGCAGGCCTGCGCACGGGCGGCGGCGGCGGCGGGTTGCCAGCCAGCCAGCCAGCCAGCCAGCCAAGACAGGCAGGCGGCCCAGAACGCGGCATGCCCGCGGGCGGGTCTCTAGAAGACGGTAGCTTCCTACCACTTCCTCGTCGTCCATCTCCACCCCCACTCGCCATCGCCATCGCCATCGCCACCCCCTTTAATCTCTCCCTCACCATCAGCCTCGGTCTCGCCTTGAACGATCGCCTTCAGCGACGCCACCGACACCCTACCGCGCCGAGACTCGCCCACGCCCACGCCCACGCCCGGCCATCTGACCACGCAACGCTCCTTCTACCCGCCCCTCGTTCCTCGTCCGCGAGTCGACCGCCATGGTAGGTCCCCCGGACGCTGGGCCACGCAGTCCGGATCGAACCCACACGGCTCTGCCCTGTGCACAACTCGACTGACCGACCCTCTCCCCCTCACTCCTGCCGCAGGTGCTCCTCGCTGCGTCCATCTCGACCCGCGGCGGTAAGCGTGAGTATCGACGGCTTTCGAGGCGGCGACAGGCAGGCAGACAGGCGACTTCGATCCGTTCAGCTGACTCTCCGAGTCGATACCGCTACTCGAATCTTCCCTCCCCCTTTCCCGCGCCGCAGCCGTCATCTCGCGGCAGTTCCGCGACATGCCGCGCTCGCGCATCGAAGGGCTGCTCGCCTCGTTCCCCAAGCTCATCAGCGCCGGCTCGCAGCACACGTCCGTCGAGACGGACGCGGTGCGCTTCGTCTACCAGCCCCTCGAGGACCTCTACATGATCCTCATCACGAACAAGAATTCCAACATCCTCCAGGATATCGATACGCTCCACCTCTTTGCCCGCACCGTCTCGGACCTCTGCCGGTCCCTCGACGAGGCCACCGTCCTCGCCAACGCCTTTGAGCTCCTCGGCGCCTTTGACGAGATCGTCAGCCTCGGCTACCGCGAAAACGTCAACCTCACCCAGATCAGGAGCATCCTCGAGATGGAGAGCCACGAGGAAAAGATCCAGGAGATCATCGAAAAGGTGCGTACGGTCGGCGGGCCACGGCCTTGCTGCCTGTCCAGATCGGCGTCCCCACAGGCTGACGCGGACCGCATTCCATCGTCGCCCCTTGCCCGCCCACAGAACAAGGAGATGGAGGCCAAGGAGGAGCTCAAGAGGCGAGCAAAGCAGCTCGAGATGCAGCGCCGCGACGCCGCCCGTCGCGGCCAGGGCGGCGGTGGGTTCGGAGGCATGTCTGGCGGCTACAGCGCCGTGCCCAAGTCGTTTGAGCCGCCGCCGACGCAGGCCCCCGTCCAAACGGGCTTTGGCGGTGCCGCTGCGTCGAGCACGCCGGCGGCCAAGCCGTTCAAGGGCAAGGGAATGCAGCTCGGCAAGAAGACCAAGGGCACCGACCTGCTCGGTGCCATGGGCAGCGAGCTGGCGCCGACGGCCGACGAGCAGCCCCTTCTCGCTCAGACAAATGCTGCCGCCGCCTCCGCCGCCGCCGCCGCCGCCGCCGCTCCCATCGCCGCAAAGGCGCCCACATCTGCGCCGACGGCCATTGACCCGCTCGACCTGCTGGAGCCGGTGGCAGAAGAGAGGTGAGTTGAGTTGAGGCGCGATGCCGCTTGTCGCCCGGCCTCGCTGCCATGCTGACT